AGATTCTATCTGGTATTCGAGCTGTTAAAATCTACGCATGGGAGATGAACTTTACAGAAGCGATCAAGCAACTACGGAGGTATGATCCAGAGTAACGCATTGATTGACTTTGTACAAAGCTTTCCCTTAAAGTGCACCTAGCCCCAAACGTTTTTTTCTTTAAAACAAATCTACTTGTTATTCAAAGTACTTCTGCGAAGAAATGTTGATGCTGTTAAACCCTCGTTTCCTGTGCTTGAGGAAAATGTCGCAACTGAATAGCACCAAAAACGCCGCCAATTTGTTCCAAGGCTGGGTTTAACTGAGAATGGCCTGGGTCCATAGGCTATTGCCGCATCTACCCAGAAAGGTGGAATCTCTCCAGTCCTGTTATTTCCTTCTAGTCCAGTCCCTGAATACTCCTTTCTTCCCGCTCTCTATAGGAAATGCACCATGGCGCGCGCCTGAGTTCAACCCCTGTACATTGCGGGAACAAGGTAGATTTCAGGAACTGGACTGATTTTCTTCAGAATGGTGCAATACACATTCGACAAGTGTAGAGAAACGCCTTCCAAAAGCGCTAACAGCTGTTGCAGTAGTAAATTGAAAGAATTGAAAAAAAGATATACTGTACAATCCACTGGCGATGATATGTCAATGGCACAGCAAAGACGATGGGTCGAACTAAAACAAGCGAAGGGAGCCTGTGAGAGCCATTGGAGAACTCACCCTGGGATTTGTTCAGCAGTCTTCCAAATGCTTTCTTCAAAATTTTCTTATTAAAGACAACCCTTAACTTGTAGATTTGCTACCGACAACCCATATCTTCCAATCCCGCAGTATTTATAACATAGCCAGCAAAATTGTGTGATCGATCAGAAGCGTCACGACTGGTATGGGAAATTAAAGTCTTGTCGAATAAATTAAAGAAAGGTGCGACAAAGAGTCGACTTAATTCCAGCATGATAACAAACGTCGAACCTGCGTCGATCCTACTTCGCAAGTTGCACTTCATTAAAACACGGGAATAAGCACTTGTCCCCATGCTATACACTCAATGCGCGGCTAGTTACTGCTAGGACTCGCCAGCAAAATGCCGGAATACAGAGCTCGTCGGGCCTTACTTTGGCAATTAATTGCGAAAAATAGAAAGAGAAGACTCGCATTACAGCTCTGAGAACAGTGTATCAGAGACGACGGCATGCTTGACCGTGCTTTTGTTTAGCGAACAATAAAGAAGCCGCGGTCTTGAGCAACGGTCTTGAGCAACGGACTTGAGCAGCGGTCTTGATGTCAGCAGTGACTTTCGATAGAGGTCACCAAATTGTCTTTGTACAGCGCATGCTCGTCAAGGGGGAAATAGCGTTTGGCAGATGAGCGAGTATGTGCTTTTGTAACGTTTGCCCAGTCCATCACATTTGAATCAATTATTTTGTAATTTTCATGATTTATGAATTGAGTTCAGCGCGTGTTTGGAACGGCGTTTGCTGAAACGCCGAACCACTGTTGCATTATCCGCTTGGCAAATCGAATTTATGCTAGAGTCCAACCAATTAATTTGAGTCGAACTTAATTGCGGCAAACGTCGTACCATTCATGCGTCTATTTCAAAATTAATAGGTTCGACGAATTAAGTTCGACTAAGATTCGACGTTTGCCCCGGGCTTAACATTCATTTTGCTTTCGATTCAGATGAAAGTCAAAGTTGAATTGTTCAGAATCACGTAAGAACTACGTTGGACTCACACAGTTTTTCTAAGGGTTTGGAAAACTACAGCGCGACAAACATTCAGTAAGATATAACCGTACAACATTAAATGCGGGCCGCTTAGGGAAAACATCCTTTTCGCTTATCCCACGAATTTCACAACAAACTTTGAACAAAGTTAACATTGGTTATTCGAAGTTGCGGTCTAAAACGTGTGACAATGTGAGGGTGGTAATTTTTGCGCGGCTTCAAAAATGCAGGTCCAAACAACACGATTTTCAATCGATGGAAGGGATTTTTCTGTTTTAACTCTTTAGACTCTCTTTATAATTACGTTCAAAGCATGGGCCAATTCCCAATAGATCTCAGTAATAATAGGCTCAGTTAATATCCCTTGAGTTGATGGACTAAACGTTAACTGAAAGTCGTATCTTTACAACGAAAGGGTCAAACTTCACAAAATAAAGGATTGTTGTTGTTGTTGTTGTTGTTAAACAAAGAACCCCTCAAAGCAAAACCCCACCAGAGTACCACCTACTCACAGGGGCCATTAAGTCCGAAAATTGTGACGGTTACGTTGCTCTTATGATAAACATAAAGCACTGTAGAGAGTAAAAGACAAACTGGATTTAATAATGGAATGACCACAACTTACGGAATACATTCTCGCTTAAGGACAGAAATTAGCCAGCTAAAGCACGCGTGGTAAGCTTGTGAAAGTAACCGAATTACCATCTAACTGCAGTCCTGGGGTTTTCTTCCCAGCTTTTCGTTTACCTCCATCTCCACATCGTATCTGCTAGCCATTTCTATTCCCAACATGCAAGGATCTCGTCCGCAAAGAAGTCTTTCCTGCCGACGCTTGAAGTATTTGAAAATGCTGTCAAAGCTCTTTTTAAACATAACAAAAGTGGCTAGTTCACAGTTGTCGAACGTTTCTCATCGAAGTTTATTTCGGAGTCTTCTTAATCGAAACATAACTCTGACTCCAGTGACGAAAAAAAAATTGATTTTGAAACTAAATTTTGACGTTTTAGTCTCAGAATAAATAACAACGATAAGTTTTGTTTTCCATTTTCTCTAGAAAATACAGAGAACGGACTGAGGAGCTATCGTGTGCTGGGTAGATGTCATCAGCATCCCCCACCCTAGACTCCCTAAACGTGGTCGCGACTTTAAAAGGGTATAGAAAATCGGAGATTGAACCACCAGATGCAAAATTTTTTTTGCAGAAGTGTTTTGAATAACAAGTAGTTTCACTTGAGCGAATAAAAATCGTGAGGCTAGGTGCACTTTAATAGTCAATAATCAAAAATGTGGATATGGGAAATGGCGTTTTCAAGAGGTCTAAACTGCACACTGCACCGATGCCAGCCAGGGCTCAAACACGGACCTCTCGGTTAGGCACACACAACCACCTTTTAAAACTCTAGCTCATGCCAATCTTTATTATCAACTTAAAATAAGGGAGAGTTTTCATATTGAACAGTTAAAACCTGATGAACGTAACAAACAAGGTGAGCATGTTAGTTATCGTTACATTTCTAAATTTATCTGCTGTAGTTTACAGTTTATATTTTGCCGTTTGTTTCTGTTTGTTCCTTTGATTTACGTTTTCTTCGGATAGTTTGCGTTGCAGACTGTCTTGCTTTCTTTAACTAATATTTGATGCATATATCAGGAGGTAACAATGCTAGAAGTGTACATCTCCGGGATGGGGTCTCTGCTCTCAGTTTTGCGAGGAGGCTATTTATAGATCACTTTTTTCCTCGAACCAGACGCCAATCACATTCATTTTAAGCTCGTCAATTCCGAGCGCAACTCACGAGTTGTAGTGGGTGATCAGATTGTGCAAATCAGCTATCGGTCGATCATCTTTTAACTTTTATTTATGAATTTCAATTCAATTCTAGTAGTAAATTCGCTGTATTGCAGGCGCATATACAGTTTGACATGACAACGTGTTACGTAAGTGCAAGTGATCGGGGGAAGGTCGAGAAAGGGTTCATGGCATCATGTGACTGCAAGTTCAAATAACTCAAATTAATTGTGTGTTAAATGTCCGTTTCATTTGTTGTTATGGAAAAGGCAAATTTCATGAACTTTGAAAATTCACAGAAAATTGATGAAAATAGCTACAACCATAATTTTTTCCAGTGGTAATGAGGAAAAGAAGGCGATTTAGACAAGCGAAATACAATTTTGGAGGTCCTATACATAACTTCATTCACCTGTTCAATTTACGAGTTTGCTCGTAGAGCACTTTGATTAATTTGTCGGTAGCCCTGTCCGTAGGCTACTGACCGCTTTAGCGTTTTAGGGGCGGAATTCATTATATGTCATTGTATGTGCAGCTAAATTGTCAGTTGTAATGGAATTTGCCTCTTCTGATGTATACAATCCTTGGCTGCTCGCGACAGATATTTTTACGTTACTTCATGGGTACGCCTTTCTAATACTACGTTATCTTTTTCTCTTAAAAAAAAAACACAGGAAAGAGATGTGGTTCATCAGATTGCGTGGACTCATTATATGCAGCCTATATTCCCTAGTTTACACTTGTGCACCACTCGCTGGCTTCATAGCTATTGCTATCTTGATCACAACTGGCGAACACGTTACTGCTTTTAAAACGTTTACAATCTTATCCAGCCTTAACGTCATAAATTTTTGCATCTGTGTCCAGATGGCATGCACTTTGCACTTCGTTGCTGAAGGTTATATTGCTGTCAGGCGCATCGAGCAATTCATGTCCAGGGAATATGGTATATCATCTGCTCAGCTCGACCAACGCGTTACGTTTGGTAAACAACGTGGTCCTAATGGCTGCTTTAGTGTCAACTTAAAGGCAAGTCGATATGGAACAGGAATTGTCAGACTAGAAAGCTTTAAAGTCGGAGATCCTAATCTGCTTTACGTTTTGAGAAAAAGGACTTTGTCTGATACAGATAATAATGATCTATCTCTAGTGTGTGTTTCGGCTTCTTGGGATAGGCACGAAGACAGGAAAGCTTTAAGAGACATTTCATTTTCTGTGAGCAGAGGACAAATGCTTGCCGTAACTGGACCAGTGGGAGGTGGAAAGTCGTCTCTCTTGATGGCTATTCTTGGAGAGTTGCCTACTTTAAATGGAAGTGTATCAGTTAATGGAAGAATTGCGTATCTTTCTCAAATGCCCTGGGTCTTCTCAGGTACTATACGAGACAACATCTTGTTTGGAAGATCTTTTGAACCGAGACGCTATCAAGAAATTGTAGAGGTTTGCTGCATGCAGGCAGACCTACACAACTTCCCACAAGGGGATTTAACAGAGATAGGACACCGTGGCGTTAGTTTGAGTGGAGGTCAGCGGGCTCGTGTAAGTTTAGCACGCGCGCTATACTCGGACGCCGACATCTACTTGTTGGATGACCCTCTCAGTGCCGTGGATGCCAAAGTTGGAAAGCATCTCTTTGATCGCTGCATTTGTGGATTTCTTTCAGGTCGAACCCGTGTTTTCGTTACGCACCAACTGGACTATTTAGCTCATTTAGATAGCATCATTGTGCTGAGGGAAGGAGCTCAAGTAAACGAAAGAGTTTGTCTTCATGAATTCGAAAAGTCGAGATCTTTTAAATTTTCTGACGTCGACAGTGTCGCTTCAGGAGTCGAATTCGTAGCACAACCTCATCATTATCACGATCAATCCCATGGTAACGGGATTGAGGACTTGAAGGAAGAGGAAGAAGATAGAAGTACTGGTTCCATTACTTGGAAGCTCTACTGGAACTTCTTCCGGACATCTCTGGCAGCTCCTGTAGTCTTTTGTCTTTTCCTCTTTGTTCTTGGCGTGAATGGTAAGAAGATTTCTAGATATTTTACAAACTCTTTCGCGGGACGTAGCTAGTATGGTTAAATCATTTGGTTATGTGGAAACAGGTTCAAACGTTACTATTACCGAGTCTAGGATCAGTAACTCGCGAGACCGTCGGACGATCGACAGGGTTTTGATGGGCCATGTTAAATGCCGCTATTCCTTTTTTTTTCTGACTCCAGGAGTTCCCGAAACAATTGTCTAAAAACAATATTAACGGCATCAAAGAAGGGATGAAAACTTCCTGGTTGTTATGATTTATGTAGGTCTAAAATAATAGTCAACTGTATAGCTGATGATTAATTTCAATTTCTTTACTATGCTTCTAACCAGTTGCGTCATTAACGGGAATTAGCCTCGAGAAGTGCAAATTGCGCTGTATACACCAAATTAAATTTGAAAGGGAACAAAACATTCTTGTGTTGTCTTGTGTTTCTTAGGGTTACTTGCTGCCTCTCACTGGTGGGTGTCTCAAGTGTCGGAGATGGATCGCGAAGAGCAACAATCATTTAGGACATTAGGCATTTACGGCTGTTTCGTTGGATCAAATTTCCTGGCCAACTTAACTGCCTCGTTTCTATTTTATTCAACACTTCTTAAAGCCTCTGAAATACTGCACAACAAAATGGTATGGTCTGTCATTAAGGCACCGGTGCTCTATTTTGACAAAACTCCTGTTGGACGTATTTTAAATCGCTTTTCCAAAGACATTGGCAATATGGACGATGTCCTGCCTCCTGAGTTCTTGCTTGCAGTGGAAGTTTGTTTATTTTCAATAAGCATAGTCCTACTTCCTGTCGCAGCAAACTTTTGGCTTATTTTCGTTGCTATTCCTCTTGTTTTAACTGCGCTTTATTATGGCCGATATTATCTGAAGTCTTCCAGGGAGATTAAGAGGCTGGAAGCCATTACATGCAGCCCAGTTTACTCACACATTTCAGAGACAGTTGCGGGACTCGAAACAATTCGTTCATCACAAATGGAGCAAAGTTTTTTGAAGAGGCTCTTCAAGTAAGTGCAGTTTTCAGAATAATCCCAGTCCTACCTTGATTCCTTTACATATCTCATGGCAATAAATCAGTCTGGTGTCCTAGATATTCAAAGGCACAGGGTGGTAAAGAGGGTCTGGAAGAGGGGTCTGGAATCTCAGTTATCGGTTAGATTTTCAGCGACTTGTTAGGTATCAGTGAATATTTCACTCCAGTTCTCAGCTATCAGTAAATTTTGACGATGTTAGATCTCAGGTATCATTATAAAAACGCGTCATTTCTCAGTCAACTGAGAATTAAAATTACAACCAATTCTCAGCGATGAGTCAGGCCTTGAAGCTCCTGGCTATCAGTTATACTCTATCCAAACGCTCTGGTTATTTATTTAAAGGAGACACTAATGAAAAACTACGAAGTGATAGAAAAATGAATTAAAATCCTTACAGCACGCGATGTCGACTGGCGAATAAATGATCTGCCTATCCACAGAAAGCAGGCCTTTTTCTAGATTTTGACCACTATCAATTTTTTTTGTATCAACTGATTTACTTCTAGATACCAGGATGAGAACACTTCAGCATTAATCATGGTAATTACAAGCACTCAGTGGCTTAGTCTTCGCATGACTCTTGTCTGCAGTCTTATGATAGCTGCTGCAGCTTTCGGGGCGGTCCTTGCTTCCCAAAGCCCAGGTAAGATTACATCAAAGTGTCATGGGTAAGAAGTTAGAACGAAAGTAAAAACTGTGTTCGTTTCTTCCATTGTTCTCGATATACATTGTATTTCTGAAGTCCAGTTCGCGATCATAGCAAGAGGGAATAAGTTTTCTTTAATGTGAATATCAGTAATATCTTTATTTCCAGCTGATACAGTGGTTCAATTTTGGGCGTATATAACTCGATTTATAAAATAACTGAGCTACTGCCGGTGAATTATTTTATAAGAGCAATAGGGCACTTTTTCTGTGCTTACGTAGCCTCATCTAAACACTCGAGGGGTTGGGAGAATTCTCGAAAGTTATGCAAACCCTTGACTACGTCTCGGGTTTGCATGACTGTTTCGAATTCTCTCAACCTTCCTCGTGTTTAGATGAGGCTATGTGAACACGGGAAAAGTGTTCTATTGCTTAAATACAGAACTTTCTCCCATTTATGTTTTCAAGTCACTATTACCCTCTCTTTGTAAGAATATTGTTTTCCGGCCCACGGTCAATAATGCCCATTTTAGGCTGAAAATATTCTGGTAAATATTCTTAGATTATGGGGTATGACATTTCCATTTTAGAATGTATTGGGTTATACATTACAAGTGTTGTTTAGTCCTGTATCGTGTTAAATTGTACGAGTGCTCCATCGNTTTTTTTCTTTAAAACAAATCTACTTGTTATTCAAAGTACTTCTGCGAAGAAATGTTGATGCTGTTAAACCCTCGTTTCCTGTGCTTGAGGAAAATGTCGCAACTGAATAGCACCAAAAACGCCGCCAATTTGTTCCAAGGCCGGGTTTAACTGAGAGTGGCCTGGGTCCATAGGCTATTGCCACATCTACCCAGAAAGGTGGAATCTCTCCAGTCCTGTTATTTCCTTCTAGTCCAGTCCCTGAATACTCCTTTCTTCCCGCTCTCTATAGGAAATGCACCATGGCGCGCGCCTGAGTTCAACACCTGTACATTGCGGGAACAAGGTAGATTTCAGGAACTGGACTGATTTTCTTCAGAACGGTGCAATACACATTCAAAAAGTGTAGAGAAACGCCTTCCAAAAGCGCTAACAGCTGTTGCAGTAGTAAATTGAAAGAATTGAAAGAAAGATATACTGTACAATTCACTGGCGATGATATGTCAATGGCACAGCAAAGACGATGGGTCGAACTAAAACAAGCGAAGGGAGCCTGTGAGAACCATTGGAGAACTCACCCTGGGATTTGTTCAGCAGTCTTCCAAATGCTTTCTTCAAAATTTTCTTCTTAAAGACAACCCTTAACTTGTAGATTTGCTACCGACAACCTATATCTTCCGATCCCGCAGTATTTATAACATAGCCAGCAAAATTGTGTGATCGATCAGAAGCGTCACGACTGGTATGGGAAATTAAAGTCTTGTCGAATAAATTAAAGATAGGTGCGACAAAGAGTCGACTTCATTCCAACGTGATAACAAACGTCAAGCCTGCGTCGATCCTATTTCACAAGTTACACTTCATTAAAGCACGGGAATAAGCACTTGTCCTCATGCTATACACTCGATGCGCGGCTAGTTACTTTTAGGACTCGCTAGCGAAATGCCGAAATACAGTGCTCGTCGGGCCTTACTTTGGCAATTAATTACGAAAAATAGAAAGAGAAGACTCGCATTACATAAAGCTCTGAGAACAGTGTATCAGAGACGACGGCATGCTTGACCGTGCTTTTGTTTCGCGAACAATAAAGAAGCCGAGGTCTTGAGCAACGGTAAACTTGTGAAAGTAACCAAATTACCATCTAACTGCAGTCCTGAGGTTTTCTTCCCAGCTTTTCGTTTACCTGCATCTCCACATCGTATCTGCTAGCCATTTCTATTCCCAAAATGCTGTCAAAGCCCTTTTTAAACGTAATGAAAGTAGCTAGTTCAAAGTTGTCGAACGTGTCTCATCAAAGTTTATTTCGGAGTCTTCCTAATCGAAGCATAACTCGGACTCCAGTGACGAAAAAAAAATGATTTTGAAACTGAATTTTGACGTTTTAGTCTCAGAATAAATAACAACGATAAGTTTTGTTTGCCATTTTCTCGAGAAAATACAGAGAACGGACTGAGGAGCTATCGTGTGCTGGGTAGATGTCATCAGCATCCCCCGCCCTAGACTCCCTAAACGTGGTCGCGACTTTAAAAGGGTATAGAAAATCGGAGATTAAACTACCAGATGCAAATTTCTTTTTTTTGCAGAAGTGTTTTGAATAACAAGTATTTTCACTTGAGCGAATTAAAATCGTGAGGCTAGGTGCACTTTAATAGTCGATAATCAAAAATGTGGATATGGGAAATGGCGTTTTCAAAAGGTCTAAACTGCACACTGCACCGATGCCAGCCAGGGCTCAAACACGGACCTCTCGGTTAGGCACACACAACCACCTTTTAAAACTCTAGCTCATGCCAATCTTTATTATCAACTTAAAATAAGGGAGAGTTTTCATATTGAACAGTTAAAACCTGATGAACGTAACAAACAAGGTGAGCATGTTAGTTATCGTTACATTTCTAAATTTATCTGCTGTAGTTTACAGTTTATATTTTGCCGTTTGTTTCTGTTTGTTCCTTTGATTTACGTTTTCTTCGGATAGTTTGCGTTGCAGACTGTCTTGCTTTCTTTAACTAATATTTGATGCATATATCAGGAGGTAACAATGCTAGAAGTGTACATCTCCGGGATGGGGTCTCTGCTCTCAGTTTTGCGAGGAGGCTATTTATAGATCACTTTTTTCCTCGAACCAGACGCCAATCACATTCATTTTAAGCTCGTCAATTCCGAGCGCAACTCACGAGTTGTAGTGGGTGATCAGATTGTGCAAATCAGCTATCGGTCGATCATCTTTTAACTTTTATTTATGAATTTCAATTCAATTCTAGTAGTAAATTCGCTGTATTGCAGGCGCATATACAGTTTGACATGACAACGTGTTACGTAAGTGCAAGTGATCGGGGGAAGGTCGAGAAAGGGTTCATGGCATCATGTGACTGCAAGTTCAAACAACTCAAATTAATTGTGTGTTAAATGTCCGTTTCATTTGTTGTTATGGAAAAGGCAAATTTCATGAACTTTGAAAATTCATAGAAAATTAATGAAAATAGCTACAACCATGATTTTTTCCAGTGGTAATGAGCAAAAGAAGGCAAGCGAAATACAATTTTGGAGATCCTATACATAACTTCATTCACCTGTTCAATTCACGAGTTTGCTCGTACAGCACTTTGATTAATTTGTCGGTAGCCCTGTCCGTAGGCTACCGGCCGTCTTAGCGTTTTAGGGGGCTTTTCCCTTGTCGGGATTCATTATATGTGATTGTATACATGTGCAGCTAAATTGTCAGTTGTAATGGAATTTGCCTCTTCTGATATATACAATCCTTGGCTGCTCGCGACGGGTTCGCCTTTCTTATACTATGTTATCTCTCTCTCTTTAAAAAAAAACGCAGGAAAGAGATGTGGTTCATCAGATTGCGTGGACTCATTATATGCAGCCTATATTCCCTAGTTTACACTTGTGCACCACTCGCTGGCTTCCTAGCTATTGCTATCTTGATCACAACTGGCGAACACGTCACTGCTTTTAAAACGTTTACAATCTTATCCAGCCTTAACGTCATAAATTTTTGCATTTGTGTCCAGATGGCATGCACTTTGCACTTCGTTGCTGAAGGTTATATTGCTGTCA